CACACAGTCAAAAATAATGTATAACTTTTGACTTCCCAAAACTTTATTCCTAATGGCCTGCTGTTGATTGGAAGCCTCACTGATAATATAAACAGTTCATTCACACATATTTTTTATGTTCTGTGTATTATATACTGTTCTGACAATGAAGTAAGCTAGAAAAAAATCCATGTATAAGTGGATCCTCACAGTTCAAACCTGTGTTGTTCAAAGGCCAACTGTACTTGTCAAAATGAAGAATCATACATTTATTAGTGTGTTTCCTTATTTACAGTTTCCTTATTATAATCTGCCTCTTAGCAGATTATAACTCCATAGGGGAGGCATCTTGTGGATTTCTCCACGGCATCTCTGCATCTCTAGTGCTTGGCACGGAATAGGAATTCAGTATTGCTTGCTCAATAATATGCGTGTTATATGAATGTAAAGTGTTATAATTCAATCCTTCCAACATAAATAAAACTACCAGCCTCCTAGTTTATACATCAAAGAATTTGTATAGTTTGGGTCAGTTCATCCCACTGAACTTAATCCTAGGCGATTCAATGAAATTAGGTTTGGGTCCTGCCGTGGAGAGGACCAGCTCTGTACTGTAGCCCTGGGAGGTCACAAGCCTCTTCCTTTCCCATCTGTGTATTTGAGGGTACCGGCACTGAGCAGGGGAGCTCTGGACCATTTGGTAAGATGAATTTCCTTCCTTCATGTGCCAGATGCAGTGGAGAGGAAAACTTACATATGGACAAGCAGCCTAGGGGAAAAGCGAACTTCTGATATCGCTCTTGAGGCCTCACTTCTCAGAAAGATGTGTAGGAAGGACTGTGGCATGATGTGGCTTTGAACCAACCCATCTTCTTCCCATTTCTCCCCAACTCTAGAACTACTTTAAATAACACAGGCACTTTACATTAGACTAACACCTCTCTTTGGTATTACACATCTTCCCTAGCCTTTTCCCCAACAGTCCATCATCCAAACAGTTGCAAGCATGATTCTTTCTTAAGTTGAGAGAGTCATGTTCCTGCTCTGCTTCTACTCCTTCTACATTTCTCCATCACTTATGGGATAACATCCCAACTCTTAACAACTTGACCCTTAATTTTTTTAATACACCTGTTGATTTTATCTTCCGCACAGTATTATTTTGTATTGGTTTCAGGTTAGACAATCATATATTTTACAAAGCGTTCCACTTGATATTTCCATTACTCACTTGGTACCATCCATACTTATCGTAATATTATTGATTATATTCCCTATGCTGTACTTCACATCCCCATGACTATTTTGTAAGTACCAATTTGTATTTCTTAATCTCTTCACCTCGTTCACTAAGTCCCTTAACTGCCCTCCCCTTTGGCAACCACCAGTTTGCTCTCTGTGTCTATGAGTCTGTTTCAATTTTGTTTGTTAATTTATTTTGTCTTAACCGTTAAACTTACTCATTTCATTTCCCTTCATTTTCCCTCTCATATCTTCATTCCCAGCCCCCACTAGCAGCTTACAAGTCTGTAAACACACCAGGGTTTCTTATGCCCCCGTGCCTTTGCAAACCAGTTCCTTCTCCTACCTCTCCTGCCTGGTGAGTCCCACTGGGTCAGCTCAAATGTTACCTTTCCCATGCAGTCTTTCCTGATAATGGCTTCTCCTCCCCTCACTGGCACTTCCTTCTGCTTCATCTGCACACTCGACCATGAGTTCCTTAAGCTTAGGGATTGTGTCTTGCTCATCATCGAATCCCCATACTTACCACAGGGCCTCATTGAGACCCAGGCCCAGGGGATGCCCTTCTTTGGGATGTCAAAAGTCCAACCAAATAACTGGACCCGATTCCAGAGTACTTTCTGGGGCCATCCCAGCTTCTACCTTCTTCCCCTCTCCCATGACATTTCACTCGACCAACTTAGAAGTAGGTGGTGACGGCAAGGGACGGGGTGGACTAAAAGGCTTTGTCTTTTTCCTTGGTTCATCCTATGTACATATTCTCAAACAATAAAAGGACCTGGGCAATAGATACATTATCACAATCATTCTCTCTATCAAGAAAATATTGCGTACTGACTGTACCCAAAAATATGGACCCCCGAAATACATTAACTTTATAGACATAAAAAGTCCTCTCTGGCAATACCAATGAAGTGGTTGCTTTTAACAAAGCCACATCTGGAACTAATTTTTTTTTGTGCCTGCCTAATGACCATTTATTATTCTTTCCCATCTCCACCGCCAAGCCCAATGTTCCAGGCAGACCCATTTTATGTAAGAAGATGCCCACTTGCATTAGTGGGGAGTGAAGGTACTCTGTGTGACTGAGAGAATGAATGTGCTGAGAGCTTAATTTTATTAAGATCACTCATTGAGAACTAGGCTTTGGAATTTGGTGATTGCCCAGATTGGGCTTTTCTGGGGGTCTTCAGCCCATCTGGAGTTGTGTGCCTGGAAACAAATGAGGTATATTTCTCCAGAAGAAATCAAGACATGGAATTATTTTGGAGGAGGATGTAAGCCCCATTGTTTATTCAGTCACCACTCATCTACTTTATGAATATCCTGTATATGCCAGGCAGTGTACTAGAAGTCTGGGTCCACATATGAGGAGGATAGGGTTCTAGCCAGGAGATACAGAGGTTCATAATGTGCGATCATGAAAGTTTTGATAAAGTGTTATGGGTGCTTTATGGGGAATATTCATTCCCCCTGAAGATGGAGTTAGCAAAAAAGGCTTTACAGAGAAGGTGCCACTTATGCCAACCCTTGAAAAGTGGATAGGACTCACCAGCGGAACCAGAAGGAAAAGTGTATCAGGCAGAGCAATGAGCACAAGCAGAAGCATGGAGAGGTGAAAAGGCCTGGGATTCAGATGCACACAAAGATATGCTTCTTAGAGTGAATGTGTAGCTTGGGAATTATTAACTTCTTTTGAGTCATGGAACTCTGTGAAAACCAAATAAAAGCTAACGATCTCTCTCCCCAGGAGGTGAGTGTGTGAGAGCATGTGTGCACATTCAAACACACACACACACACACACACACACACATTTATAGGCACTTTCATTGCGTTCATGAACCCTCTGCTCCAATGGACACAAGGGGTTAACATTTTCTAGTACAAATATTCACATATTCACATATAAAACAAATTAAAAGAGGATTTATGGCTTTATGTACTACTAACTGCATTTTCTCCAACTATTAGTGCTACACAAACAATAACACTGAATACCAAAATAAAATTAACTTTGAGTGTCTACAAGTAATCAGCGGATTTTCTGTCTCCAAAGTTTATCGGAGATTGTCACAATTATTTTTTCTAACCCTTTTGTTAGAATTTCAGGCGTATACTACAGTTGGGAAGCTATTTGAAATAAACAAGTATGGAGATAGGCCTGAGTTTCAGGCTGCTTTCCCGCCCCCCCCGCCCCCCCCACTTGAGTCTAAAGCAAATGGGGGAGTGGTGTGGCTTTTCTGTACTGCACTGTTGTCTGGGCTTAGTCTACCTTTGCAGGTAATTAATTCTCCAGCCTGCTTATTTTTTCTAGTTGGCTCTTGTTTAGCTTCCACAGAGCCCCACCCCAAAGTGCTTTATTGTCCCTCTGCTGACTATTTCTACATATGGTCAAAATCAACTCACCTTCCGGGTTGCTGACATCGGCAAATTCACTGTTTGGCAAACTTTACTCTGCTCCCAGTAACCCTTTGTTAAAAAGTGTTATTAAGAATGGGGTGGATCTGATAGCTAACAAGCCTGTGCAGTCTCTTCCACCTCTAGATATACTAAGGAGGAGCTCTTTGTGTCTGTGGATTTACAGCCATGGGCAGGAAATTAGTACTCCCAGACCTGTTGGGTACTAGAGCACTGCTAATGAGCAAACAGCCCAGCCTCAATTAGTGGTTTGTGAAATAAATATTCCTGGATATCAAATTGCTTTTGCTGCTTGATAATCACACTGGCTCTTGGGATGAAAAACAACTAAGCAAAAATTATTCCCTTGTTGAGTGCTGCCTTGTTGATCTAAGTTGTATCTGTAGACAGAATTCAAGTTTGCCATTTCCCCAGAGTCAAGGTTTGATTTACACATGTAATCATTGTGTTGCTGTTGTGTGTTCTCTTGCAAATGTTTTTCCATAGTATACAGATTACCATCTTTTGAGACTGATGCTAAAATAATTAAACGGGTTATTTTAGAAATAAACTATGAAGTAAACTATAGGAGAATCCAAAATGGTAAACTGCTATACTGCTAATCTTTCTAGGCATAGATGTTTATGAGAGAGAGAGAGAGAGAGAGAGAGAGAGAGAGAGAGAGAGGGAGAGAGAGAATGAATTAATGTAACTTGTTTCATACACATTGCAATTCTGTGTTGACTCGTACTAAATGTACTAAATTCTTCAGATGGTAGTAATGTTAACCCCTGCAACTGAAAAGAAAAGCTTCAATATAGGGCTTGGGAAGAAAAAAAAAAAGTAGTAAAGGGAAGGCAATTCAAGATCTGTTACTGAATACGTTTATTGTGACAAGAATGCTGTTATAAATATTCATAAGCAACGACCATCTTTTAAATCTAGGAATTCTTAAAGTGAAGATTCCAAATTGGAAGTATACATCTTTTGTAAAAATCTACCACCTTTCCTGCTTTGAGAATAAGCATCTATTGTTAAATTTCTACTAACATTATAAATGGTCACAGCACATGCCACTTGATAATCTAAACTTTAAAGTGTTTGACTTCCCAGTGAGCTATCCCTCTTTACCACAACATCCCCTCCCTCAGCCCCCTTAAAAGCTATACTATCCTTTGTAAGCAACTCTACATAGACAGTGGGGGAGGGTAGAGCATAACTTGAGAGCATCAGCCAGTTATTTCTCAAGCCCAGGAGAGAATAGTTTTTACTGCTTGTTAGGAAGAAGCACTGAGAGTGATTTTAATGGACATTCTTAACTCTTTCAATTCCACCTAGATAGTAATCTATAGATAATTCAGAAAAGAGGTTGGGGGAGGGGTACTTTTTCAATATTTTATTTTCTTAAATATCCTTTCTGGAATTTTCAGAAACAAAACATAAAAAAAAATTATATATTTTATTACAAATGGTAAACTCAGAGTGCTTCAAATCTCTTATTTACAAACAACACTGGGCAGGACGCCCAAACAAACAAACATGAAATAACTTACAAAGACATGAAGCTGTTTATTGACAGTAATCAGCTTTCATCAAATTAAAAAATATATATATGTACATACACAGTTAAGGAAGGCAGGCCAGAAAGAGTTCATCTGTAGGCTCAGCCTCATTCTCACAAACCTCCCTCCCGCCTCCCCTCCTCTCGACCCCTCCCCGCTTTGCATTCTTAAGGAGTACTACTGAAGCAATCTACAGTCTCTATTGCAGTTTGCAGCCCCTCCCCCTCCCCCTTTTAATACTGAATGAGATCGAATGTTAGGTCCATGCAGTTCTTGGTCAATGTTAAAGAAAAGTCTAACGTTCTGTTTGCGCTGGGACAGCCAGTCCGCAAAGCGGGGCAGCCCGCAGGCGGCCGCTTCCTGGCTCCACGCCAAGGGAGGGCGCGCCAAGTCCTTCCCACTCGTGCACACTGGGGGCGCCGTCAGGACGCAACCCAGTCCAACTTGGATACCCTTGGCTTTAGTCCTCGGACACTTCTTTTCTCTTTCTCTCTCTCTTCCTCACAACTTGTCAAGTTCTCAAGTCTGTGTGTTATTTTTTTTCTCCGTTGTCCCTCAGCCCCCGACAGTCTCTTCTCAAAACGTTTGCAACTGCTGCGTTAGCATGAGTTGGCACCCACTATTAACGTGGTTCATGACTTTCTGCTTAAGCTGTGCCACCTGTTCCCTGAGCATGTTGGCTGTAGACGCCAGCTCCGAGTTCTGCGCTTTCAAGGTTTTCACTTTTTCCTCCAGCCGGGCGATTCTCTCCAGCTTCCTTTTCCGGCACTTGGAGGCTGCGATGCGGTTCCGCATGCGCTTCCTCTCCGCCTTGATCCGCTCCTGGGACTCCATGTCGATGGGGGAGAGGGGCGGTGTTTCCCCGGGCATCTCGGGCACCGTCTGCGGCTCCTCCTTCAGGGCCTGCAGCCGGGGGTGCTGCACCGGGATCGGCTGGGGCAGGTGGTGAGGCGGTTGCGGCGGCGGCTGCTGCTGCTGCTGCTGCTGCTGCTGGGGCTGCGCGGCAAACGCCAGGCCGGTGGCGCCGTAGGAGGGCGCCCCACCGCCGCTCAGCGCGCCGGGGTTGAAGTTGCTGAGGTTGGCGTAGACAGGCGGCTCACTGTGCAGGCTGGCGCTGAAGCCGCCGCTGCCGCTGCCGCCCGCCACCGAGGCCACCATGCCCGCCCCGCTGACCGGCTGCGCCGCGGACGTGACGCTGGGCAGCGTGTTCTGGCTGTGCAGCTCGGCCAGGGCGCGCACAAAGCCCTCGGCGAAGCCCTCCTGCTCGTCCGTCACGTTCTTGGGGCACAGGAACTGGGTGGGGGTCGGCGTGGTGGTGATGTGCCCGTTGCTGGACTGGATGATCAGACGCTCCAGTTCGGGCGACGCCAGCTTGAGCAGCCCCACGTCGGGCGAGGTGAGGAGGTCCGCGTTCTTGGCCCGCAGGTGCGGCTTCAGGCTGCCCACTGGATCGGCCAGGTTCAGGGTCATGCTCTGTTTCATGATCTTGGGGTTGCTGTAGCCATAGGCGCCGCTCTCGGACTGGAGGAACGAGGCGTTGAGGGCATCGTCGTAGAAGGTCGTTTCCATCTTTGCAGTCATAGAACAGTCCGTCGCTTCGCGTGGGGTTTGTTTGGGCTGCGCGAAGAAGTTTCCGAGCCGAAACAGCGCGCTGGCAAGCGGGGGCACCCGCGCCTCCCGCCGGAGCCTTTGGCGAGGAAAGTTTCTGGAGGAGCGCGCGCGCCCGCGGGCCTCCCTCCCCTCGGAGCCCTCCTCACCGGTCTGCTCGGCTCCGCTCCGGGGAGCGCAGGGTTAAGAGGCCGCCCGCACGCTCACTTGTCCGCTCGCGCGCGCCGCCGGCTTTGAAAAGTCGCGGCCACTCACGGAGCGCTCCTCCGCGCCGGCGGCTCCTCGGCGCCCGCGAACGGACTCGCTCTTCGGCGACAGCAGGTCTCCCGGGGGCGGCACTCGGCGCGGACCCCGCCGATGGCCGGCCGGCGGCGAGTCTCCGCCGCCCGGACTCCGACGATGGTCCCCTCCTCCGCGGCAAGAGGGAGGGGGCGCCCAGCGGCCGCGCTCGCGCTCCCCCAAGTTCAGCAGCAACCGGTGCGCAGGTAGCTGAGCGCTCGTCCCTCCGCGCTCTGCTCTCCGCCGCCTGCTTTCCTTGATCGCCGCCGCTTCGGGTGGGGAAAAGCTTTGCAAAAGTTCGCTCCGGGACCCGGGGGCCGCGGGTCCCCCGCCCTCCGGGCCAGGAAAGTTCTTTGCCGCGGCAGCGGCTCGCCGGACTTTTCCGGGCGACGGTCAGTCGCCGCTCTCCTCCGCGCTGTCAGCGGCGCCTGGGCAGCGGGACGCTCCTCCTGGGGGCCGTTGGAGAAGGGGCTCTTTGGGCGCTCCCCAAAACACCAACCCAGGGAGCCACAGGCGCTAGCTCTGGGCAGTTGGTGAGAAACTGGAAAAGAGAATAAGATCTGCCTCTGCCGATCGGACCGGTGCGGTCCTGACAGTGTCTGCCTGTCTCCGGGAGTCCAAGCACCTCCACTCGCGCCTCGCAGCGATCGCCACACTCAGGGCAACTCTGAGTCCTTATCCAGCCAGAGCTCAACACTTATCTGCTACCAGTCAACCCCTAAAAATAGCCCATGATGTCACCCCGAGGCCTTCGCATTGGCTCGCGTCGCTCTCAAGGGGGCGGGCCCGCCCGTCGCCATGGAGACCCCACCCTAGAAGATTCTTCTCCGGGCCCGCGGAGGCTCACGGGATGAGGTAATGCTCTGCTGCCCTCCTACAGTTGGGCCCTTCTTTCTCCTCACCCCCCCCACCCTCCCCCCGCCCTCCTCCCGCGCGGCTCGCGTCCCACTCCTCGCCTTCCCCTCCCCGGCGCGTCTTTCCCGACCCGCCCGGTGCATTGTGGGCTGACGTCTTGGGGTTTGACTGTCTAGTGACGGCTTCCACCGCGAGCGGGGCAGACGCGCGGGGTGCTCGCAGCCTCGGACGGAGGCGGCGGGCTCCAGTTCGGGCTCCGTGGTGGGGGAACGGGGAGGCTGCGGGGGGACCTAGAAGGCTGGGGGACCCGGCCAAGTGTCTGGGAACCGAGGGTGCGGGACGTGTGGTGTAGCTCCCAACTTCGCGGGGCTCCAAGTCATCTGTGTGGGCACTTGGGCGCCGCGCGGGGCGGGGAGGCCGTGCGCCCGAGTCCGGCCCCCCCTCCCGCACTTCCGGGGGGCGGGACGCCGCCCTTAAGGTGGCCCCGTTATGTCCTTCGTTTGGGGGAGGTGGGGAGGGGATGAAAGTGGGCTTAAGTTTAGGGGCGGTCTCGCGGGAGGCGGCCCCCCACGTTGAGGACGCTAGGAAGTTTGTCTCCTGGTCAAGTTCTCGGGCGCCGTTCGCCCCGCTGTCTGGCTGCGCCTGGAAGCCCAGGGATTTGCTTTGCTCGAAACTGGTTGCTCGGCTAAGTCCCCGCCGTTCCCCCACTTCGCCCTCCGGACCACAGCTTCGTCTCGGAAGCGTCTTTTTTTTGTTTTGTTTTGTTTGATTTTTGGGGGGCAACTCTGCGTCTAGTTGAGAACCCCCGCGTATAGGGAATCCGAAACTTGGAGAACCCCGGTGATTGTCTATTCCCTGCCCTCTCATAACAAGAACACGCACACCGCACATCCCTCGAACGAACGAACACACACACACACACACACACACACACTCACACTAACACTCCTCCCGCCTAGACTTGCTTCCGGGAAAATAAGTCCGAGACACTCGCCGAAAGTCACGCAGCAGCAAGGACTCCTCTGCTCCAGGCCGGTGCCAGGCCCATATCTTGTGTAGCCTGTAGGAAGCGCTAGACACATATAAGTGGTTCCTTTTCTGTGGTGGTGATTTTATCCTCCCCCATCCTGTACCCCTTAGGGACAAAGTGTCTGGTGGAAAGAATACTGAAGTGGGGTATCGTGGATTCCCGTCGTGGCCAGCCCTGCCACGGTGTGAAGTGAGCTCCTCTGAGCTTCAGTTCCTTTATTTGCAAGAGGGACCCTAGAGAACCACCTCAGTGGGCTGAGTTAGGGTAGCATCACCACCTTCAGGGCCAGGAGGTGGTTGCCAAACAGCCCCCTTCCCTGAGTTTCCCAGAGCCTCAATGGAATGCCAGGATGTGAGTGTGACTTGGCAGGAACAGGTGTACATATGCCTGTGAGGAGCAGTGAGGGGAGGAGAGTGAAGGGAGGAAGGGGTCAGAAGTCAGCTCTTTCCCAGGCAGAAGGCCTAATACTGCGGCTTGCAGTTGGACCTGCAGCAGTTTATGCTCCTGGGTTCTATTTCTGGTTTTTCAGCTTCAGAACTTGGGGGAAATTCAGCCTTGGGTTCCGAGCCCAGAGTTTTAAGGGCTTTGTGGCTTTGAGAGTTCAGATTCAACAGCTCTACAAGCAGCTGGTGGTAGGGAAACCTTGACGACTTTTCTTCATTCCAGACACTCACCTCTCATTCTCTCATGCAGCAGAGGAAAACTGAGTGGTACTATGAGCCAGGTACCATGCTGGGTGGGGGGTGGGGGTGAGTAAGGATACAGTGATAACAAGATCAGTTACTTTCCTCAAGGAGAGAACATTCTCCTCAATACTGTTGCCCTGAGTCATTTTCTTTTGTAATCACGGGAGCTGGTATTCTTAATAAGGTTTATGAGGAGAGCCATAAAAATAAATTTCATTATTAAAAAAATCTATCAGCCAGGCGTTTGCCTGAGCAGTTTAAATATGTGTTTTCTCCCACAATCACAGAGCTGTGCATATTATTGGGTGGATTTAACATATGAGGAACTAGGCCCAGAGAGGTTAAATGTCTTGCTCTGTCCACACAGACAGCTGGAAATTGACCTCATGTTTGTGTTACAGTTCCTGTACCTTCTCTGCTTTGGGGGACTTTCTTACATCATTGGCTGCAGAGGAAATAGAGCTTTGATGGGACAGAAGACATTTGCCTTGCCTTATCTTCTGTAACTCCTTTCAGAGCTCCTGTGTTTAGAAAAGTCCAGACTTAGGACTTTGTATAAATATATATCTTTTGCCTAAGGGTTCTGTGTGTTCATCTCTGCCTTATGTGGTTTAGTAGGCTGCTTTTCTCCTTATGTTGAGAAATAGCATATTTCATCTAAAAAATAACAGATCTGTTTATGTTAATGCCCCTGCTTGGAAGCCTTCATTAGCTTCTCCTTACCACCAAGAGAGAGTTCAGACACCTTTGCTGGGGAGAAGGGGCCCTTCACAGTCTAGCTCCTGCTCTCAGGCCTCATCTCTCACTCCATTTATCAGTCAGGAAAGGCTGAGCTCTGCTCCCCTAACGAACAACCTCAACATCTCAGTGGTTTACTCCAGGGAAGTTCATTTCTGACTGATGCTATGTGCCCATTGTGGGCCTGTGGGGAGAACTGTTTGCTGTGGTCACTTGAGGATTCCAGTTGAAGAAGGTTTCATCTTTTTTTTTTTTTTTAATATATTTTATTGATTTTTTACAGAGAGGAAGAGAGAGGGATAGAGAGCTAGAACCATCGATGAGAGAGATTCATGGACCAGCTGCCTCTTGCACAACCCCTACTGGGGATGTGCCCACAACCAAGGTACATGCCCTTGACCGGAATCGAACCTGGGACCTTTCAGGCTGCAGGCTGACACTCTATCCACTGAGCCAAACCAGTTTCGGGGAAGGTTTCATCTTAAAGCATGCCTATTACTGTCTTGGCTGGGGTGGGGGAGGGGTGAGGTGGTGGAGAGAAGATGGGAAATTATTCACTCAGAATATCCACCTGGAAGTGACACTGCACTATGCTCGTGTACCATTGGCTAAAGCAAGTCATGTCACCAGCCATGCCTATCTTTGAATCTCTGTAATCCTGCCAAGTGTCTTGAAAGGAAAGAGCCAGGAAGATTTGTGGAACAATACTAATGATTCTAACAGCATTCCTTTCTATTCACCAAGTGTTTGGCTGTTGTCCTCCCACAGGCAGAATTTCTGCCTTCTTTCCTCAGGGGGGACAACACTAAAGACCTATTTAGTTGCAGTATGCCAAACTCACTTTCCAGATTCTGGGGGATGTGTATTAGACTCTATCAGCTCTAAATGTGACTTGGTCTACCCTGCACACCCTCAGTATAGAACAGTGGGGCAGAGACAGGATAACTGCAATGGACAGCCATTTGGGAAAAGAACTAGGAGACCACAGTAGCACTAGCCTACTGAGCAGACATGTTGAGGGCCCCCAACATGTCAGCACCCCACTTAGACCCTGATTCTGCTCCCCCAGTGGAGCTGCTCCATCTGTTGTTTTTCATGACCCCTGGCTTTGCCTAGGAGAGGCACTTCCTCTTCTATATCTAGAGCAGACATAGAAAAACATGTTTTAAAATAAGCTTTTAAACATTGGGGTGATATACAGAGTGATATTAAGTCTCCAATACAGTGTCCTTTAATCCAGGCTGAAGTGCTTTTGGCAGTAGAACTCGCACATAAATGTAGGCTTCTTATTGATTTGATTCCAACCATTCTACTTCCGAATAGCCCCAGCTTGCCATATTTCTTTGCTTTTTTTGCTCTCATGCCTGCTGATCTCTCTGTTTCTCATTCATTCTCCTGCCCTCCTACCCCCTAACTTGGTTTTGTGTGCTTTGTTTGGACTTATTGGGCTTTGGTGTGAGAGTCACACTTTTCTTCCCTTTTCCAGAGCCATTTTGTTCAATTGAAAGCATATGCTGGGTAACATAATTTATCCAGAGATTTTAACAATAGGGTGAAGGCCATATTCTTGACTTGATCCATACTTCAAGGCCGATTTGACCCGGAATTTTCTTGCTGAAAACATTTCTTAATTGAATATTTCACTACTTGAGATTGATTGATAAATAGTAGCTTCTTCTAACTCTACAAATGTCTGAATTTCTAGATAGTCTTTGCTGTCTTTCATTCCTCCGTACAAGCTGGCCAATTCTTCTCTGAGCTCATTTAAAAAATATATATATTTTATTGATTTTTTTACAGAGAGGAAGAGAGAGGGATAGAGAGTTAGAAACATTGAAGAGAGAGAATCATCGATCAGCTGCCTCTTGCACACCCCCTTCTGGGGATATGCTCGCAACCAAGGTACATGCCCTTTGACCGGAATTGAACCTGGGACCTTTCAGTCCGCAGGCCAATGATACTCTATCCACTGAGCCAAACCGGTTTCGGCTGAGCTCATTTCTTTCCTTTTTTTTTTTTTTTTTTTTTTTTTTTTTGTAATAAGTTTCCAAATGCATCCAATAGCATCTAGCACATGCTACTAACATTTTGTTTCATGGTCTCTTATTCTGAATTTACTAGATTAATGATATGCCTTCTAATTCTCACAGGTGATATATTCATCAAATAGATCACTATCCTTTAGCTTCTGTTAACAGTGTTCCTAGTTACTGTCCTCTAAACAAATGTTTAATTTTATTGTTATCACATTACCCCATGTCTAGGTGCCAGTTTTTATATCAGTCAGGATAGACCAGGTTTGCCACAATAACAAACAATCCTAAAATTTTAGTGGCTTAACAAAAACAAACACAC